AAGTGCATCGCGCAGGATTACCCAGCATGCACTTGATATTATGATATTTAGATATTTCAACAATTCTCATTATTTTTGCAAAAGGCTGTATGATAATAAAATATGTATATAAACAGTCACTATAAAAAGACCCTGATTCATATGCTTTTTGGCTATCGCTAGAAACTTTGGGCCACTGTTATTTATTCGGCCACTTCTTTTATTACTCGGGGTTCCTGTGGAACCGCGAGTTTAAGTTTCGGGCTTCTTATTTTTCTTCATTGTCGTCGCTTATCAGTCACAAATTGTCCACAGGTAGCCCAAGCTCATAATCACGTGATATTCTAAAAATGCTATTAAGAGGCCAAATTAGCGAAATATTATTATTTTCCTCGATAGAACATCTAAATTAAAGTATTATTGCGACATTTTGAGCCAAAATAATGCCTTTTGACAGAAATACGAGCAAACGAAAATTGGTAAGAATGTATGGGATTATCACGGCTCAATGCGTTTTAGACAGGTCAAGAAATACCTACAAAAGGCTGTATTTTAAGATCTAAATGAATTTTTCATGTTCCTGGCCAAAAACAGCATATAATTCCCAACAGTTATGCAAAGTTTGATGTCAAACTGCGATTTTTTAGCAAAAATATAAGCGTTTGAATATGGTCTTACTTTACAAGGGAATGTATGTGAAAGCCCTGATGGTGTACTATCCAGTACACAACCACGCGGACAGTAACTCCGAGTGTCGAAATAAGCTCAAAATGATTTTGCTTCAGTTTTCTAACAATATCATTCTAAAAATTTAATTAAATGCTGAGACTATATTTGTTTTAAGATTTATGGGCTTTCCGAGGTTAATTTGGCGTGTTTCAAGTAGCTTGACAGTATTGCGTGGCATATTTTTGAACGTTAATAACTCAACGAATAAACTGCAAAAAAAGGTTAAACTTTCAGAGAGAACTTCTCATGCTCTTCGAGGTATTTTAAGGTATTTTTTACTTTAATGTTGTGTGTCTGTGATTTTAGAATTTTTTTCGACTGATGACGTCATGTGCAAACCGAGAATAGTCCGCGAGACTGATACGCGAGGTGGAAGAAGACAGAAATTCAACGTCTACAAATACGCTCAAATCACTTAAAAATATCCAGACTTTCGTGGGATAGCCACACTAAAATATRACGAGCGTTTTTCCGAAAAAGGAATTTCAGGAGATACCGTAAATTTATCGAGAGATTATCTTACTGTCTATCAAGATCGAGTCTATCGATAATTATCTATCAAACAAGCTACCTATCTTAGCACAAGCGAACTATATACGAACTTATGCAGGCTCTGAAACTACTAATAAGGTATCGTCTAAGGAATGCGAACATAGTTCTTCTGAGGAAAAGCCAACGAATGGCAGAGCGGAGAAGATAAGACTCTGTGTTTACAGCCTGTCATGTGACTATCAAAGTGAGACCGGCTTGCTGATGATCAATTTTTTCATAATATTTATGCTGAGTACACTGTTTTTTTTATTATTTTTTATTCCAGGAAGCATTTTTTGCTTTACGCCTTTTGATAGTATGACTATTAACTTTATTAAGGTTCAATATAGTCCAATTCTTCTCAATTCTTCGACTACAACACTCATTGTTGTCACTTCATCGTTTTAATATATTCAAGCAGAACCCCGAGTTCACGCAGCTATGCGTCTAGTTCTAATTTAAAATGCCTTGACTTGATTTTTGGACCAGTTATGGAAATAAAATGAGTTTGAAACAATACCATTTTCGGCTTGATCAGGGTCGGTGGAGCCAAAATTGACTGTGTGGGCACAATCATAGACTTACAGTGATGACGTCACAAACATAGACAAAAAGAAATCCATTGGAAAATTAGAAATATACACTTTTTATATATCAAGTGTCAAAGTTCACTTTTCCTAGTATCTTATTGGTCGAGAGTGTACCACGTGAAAGTCACAAAATTTTACTGTTTCCCGGCAACTGTCCACCAGCGGTCAATAATATGTTGTGGACCGTCGATAAGTACAAAATCGCAGAAAAACAATCTTCAGTGTCGTGAAAATGTCACATTTACGGACGTTGCAATTCCAAAATTGTTATGAAACATTTAATTTCGACTACAAATAGTTAAATTAGTATTCATTGTGTTATTACATTGATTGATTTTAGTGACTATTTGTATTGCCATTTTTCAGTTATTTTATCAAAATCTTTAATAAAAACAATTCATTTATTTACTTTTTTTTTGCTCTCTTTGACACTTGATATGATAATAAAGCACTTATTTACTGGAAACCTCGGGAAACAGCATGTTTTGCGGTCCCTCGGCGACCGTTGATGTTTCCCTCAGCTTCGCTTCGGGAAACATCAGCGGTCTCGGGACCACAAAACATGCTGTTTCCCTCGGTTCCAGTAAATAAGTGTTAAATGTTTTATGTACAAAAGCGATGCCGTTATGCAGTTGTGTAAAGATAAATTTAACAACGTAAAAAAAGAGGTGAAACAATTACTTACGGACGTTAATCAGTCAGTAAGTTGTTTCACCTATTTTTTAACGGGTTTTAAAAATTTATCTTTTTACACATTACTGTATCTTTAGAAACACCGACGCAGCTCACACTAGTTTACCGCTGGTTTCAACMATTTGAACCAAGATTCAGTTTAGCTTATGTTTGGGATTGTGATGGCTCCGCGGTTCATAACACAGAAGTCTTGGCGTTTTATCAAGATCTGCGTTATTTGTTGTCATGGTGCATCATAGCAGGAGAATCTAACAGGTAATTTTGTAAAAGGAGAAAATCTCACCAACCAATCCTTCACGGTTATAAGCGGGCCTGGTACGGCGGCTCTCGATGCAGGTACACATGGTTTTCTCTCGAAAATATATTAAAATGAAAAAACGCCTCGAAACTCCTCAAATAATGCAATATCCTTTATATACAAGCCACTGTTTAAGAATACGCCTTAAATAAAAATTATCGTTCAACTATCTATCCGCCATCCATGTTTGACACGGCGAACGTTATTGATTGAAATTGTCAATTGTTATGSTCGAAACAACAACTGGAGTGATCAGCCTTAATTGAAGAAAACGTCTTAAAGATCAAATGAATTAGTACATCCACAATTTCAACGACAGAAGATCTATAAATAAGTATCGAACCACTCTTTAGATTCGCTACTCTTGTCCATTGAATCACGTGATAAACCATGAGATCTGATCGTGGGTTTGAATTCCATGTCTTCTGCATCACGTGACAAATCCACAGTATCACGTGATACGTCTACTGGGGTACATGATTCGTCGTCATATTTGTCTATTTGATCGCATGGATGAGTGAAATTATTTGACATCGAAACTCGTGATTGGTCGACACATAAATCAATCGTGTTACATTGGTGAGAAAAAGATTCGCCGCGTGATTTGGAATCATCWATTGTCTTGTGAGTCGGATATGACGCAAGATAATCCATACAAGTCCGACTGTCTCTCATTGGCCGCAGTGCATCATGGTGCATATCCCAAGAACCTCTGTTCAAGTGATCTTCTTTAGTTTCCATAGAGATGAGGTCTGGTAGAGATGACGATCGTTCAGTTTTGATTTTGGTGAAATCACACGGCCGACAGGGGACTGGGTCAAATGGTCTCGTGTAAAACATTTCTTCTTCGTTTGACTGAAGTTGAGAATAGAAATTATCATCAGATTATTATCCTGACCATGAATTCCTAAGGATTCCTGCATTGCCTTTTGCAGGTTAATGAAAAATGTTTTCAAAGATGATATTTACATGGCAAGAGATACAGCTTTTAACACACCTTTTTCCTACAACCATCGCATGCGACCTGGATAAGTCATCCTTACAACATGGCTACAACTAACAGTCGTACATATCCTTATCTGATCTTATCTCCGCGTGCCCAAGTAATAATCTATATATTTAATACTCTATATTCAGGATAATTGTGGAAAATGTTGCTGAGATTCAGTTGCGCATTCGTAATAAAACTTAGTATGGTACGCATAGCATATCAGCTGAATAAAGGAAATGTAGATGTTACATACCTGGAAAGTCGGATTGACAAACGTGATGTCCTCTGGGAACGATGAAGATAGCATGTCAGGATGATTGGTTGTCAGCGGCATTCTGGTGGATTTCGTCATCCTCCACTTGATCACCAACAGCACAACAATGACAGCTACCATCAGACAAGCGAGAACAATCACTRTTGTTATGACTTCCATTGTACCTAGAGAAACAGTGGACGCCTTGATTGACAGGTTGTAAATGGGGCGATTTACACAAATTCGCTCTGCGCGTACATCRAACAGTGGTCGGTTACATAGAAAAATAGAGGAAAGTCGCTTGAAATATATATAATGTTGTTTTTCATTTATTGCTGTATTAGCTGTGGAAACAACAAATGCTGTTCCAATAAACGTTTTGTTGTTGCTGTTGTAATTTAACGGCTTCATTGCATATAATTCTGCAAAATATAACAACATAACGAGTAGGAATAATGTAACGATCATTAAGACACAGAACTAGTCACTGGAGAAGACACAATACATCAAACGAACCATGGAACTCACGTCAGAGCGAAAATACCAAAAGTCACTGTGGATACTCACCTTCACATTCGCTCATGTCCAGGAAAACGGAAAACAAGCAAACCATAATTTATGATTTATTGCCATCAATAAYCAAAACCCATAGTAAGGTCGTACATTCGCTGTTCTATATYCTTACTGTCCCTGACCGCTGTTTGATGCGTGCGACGCGCAGATTTTCTGGAAGCGTCAAGAGAACGTACCTCGTTGTTGTTGGTCAACTTTTTTGTGAGAAGTTAATTCGCCATTTGGTTCACATACCATTGTCCCTTTCTTGCTGACACACGTTGAGTTTRCTGGACAAGAACTGCATTCACTAATTTCTGTCAACATACGATACTCTCAGTACCTCATCCCTTAATATTTAGTATTGCCTGTCAACTGTTTTAAAGTTTGTTTATTTTATTATTCATAGTTCATATACAGCCTTTTGCAAAAATTATGAGAATTGTCTAAATATCTAAATATCATAATATCCATATCCATATATTGTCTGGAACACGCGGGTTTGCTAGAATAATTCATTGTTGACATTGAGAAAATGTTCAGAACTACGGATAAGTCTGTCGTCAAAAAAAAACTAAACTACAAAGACAAGGRACTAAGGGCATCGCGCGGGATTACCCATCATGCACTCGATATTATGATATTTCGATATTTCAACAATTCTCATAATTTTTGCAAAAGGCTTGATTCAGAGGGTATTATCAAATATCACCGTCTCTAGTTATACCTGCTTGGCACAGAACACCAGTGTATCCCGGATGACAGGAACAAAGGAATCCCGAAGGCTTACTGATGCATACACCACGTGGTCCACAGACATTGGACGGGAAAGTCAGGTCACTATTGGCTAGTCTCACTTTGCAGTGATTGAATGCTAGAATATGATAACAAAAAATAAGAATTTGAAAGCGACAGTGATTTGTTTGCATGTTTTCTTACCATTTTGACAAACGTCTCCTGAAAATCCTCGTCTGCACTTACAGTACTGCATCTCACCTTGCACTACACACTTGCCGTCATTCAAACATGGCGATGAATGACACCTGTCAATCATCTGGCAATCATTTCCCATGTATCCTAGACGACATTGACACTTGTAGCCACTGRACAAAGCAACACACGTTCCGCCGTGCTTACACGTCTCGTGATTACAACCGATTTGACATCGCTCGCCCGTGAAGCCAGCTAGACAAAGACACTGGAAACCAGAGGGCGTGGCAAGGCACGTGGCATTGTTCAAACAAGGGGAATCTATACCGCAAGACGTAGTCATGACGTCACAGTTTCTTCCCGTCATCCGTTTCGGGCATATACAGGTATATCCGGTTAAAGGGTGCTTTCTACAAACACCATTGTTAWTGCACGGATTAGGGTCGCATAAATCTCGTGAGACGTTGCAGTTTTTGCCGGTGAATCCAGGCAGACAGTCACAGTCGTAGTCGTTATGSTGATCTTTACAGCTCCCTCCGTTAAGGCATGGCAACGACGCACAGTCGTTCATAGGTATTTCACAAAAATGCCCTGCAGAAAGAGAAACAAAATCAAATAGTTGTATCGAATAAGTTCATGTCACACGTTCACTCTATTTGTTAACAATACAAACCTGTAACACCGATGGGACATAKACACTGGACCTCGTTCACACCATCGATACATGTCCCTCCACTCAAACAGGGCCAACTTGAACAATCATCGATATTAACMGTACAGTTWATACCAGTATAGCCGACTTGACATAAACACGTGTAGCCGCTGACCTGATCGATACATTGACTGCCATTATGAAGACAAGGCTGAGTTACACAGTCATCAATATCATGTGCACATGTCAACCCCTGGAAACCCGCTGGACATTTGCACATGAACCCACTTATCATGTCGATACAWGTKCCTTGGTGTTGGCATGGCGACGACGAGCAGTCATCAATATTGACATCACATCTTTGCCCTGTGAATCCTGWCAAAATAATCATACTACTATTACAACCTTGTGTTAATGAAATAATGGAAAGTTATAKTGCTAAGAGGGAGTTTATTCTGGKCCAAAGACTCTTGACAATAAATTCGCAAAAGATTAATTCTTAGCCTTGMTAGGACTAGAACCCACGAACTTGTAATAGATGCCCGGGAGGGGTGGGGAACTCCGATCAGATTAGTCATGCTGAGATGTACCTGAGTGACAGACGCATTCAAAATGTCCAACACGATCCATACATGCACCATTGACACAAGGCTGTGAAGAACATTCATTGATATCAACGGCGCAATGCTTCCCTGTGAAACCAACAGGACAATGGCAATAATAGTCATTRACCAAGTCTTTACACGTCCCTCCATGTCTGCARGGAGACTGAGCACAATCATCAACATTGATTTCACATCGACGCCCAGYAAACCCAACAGCACATGAGCAGATGAAATAATTGACGTAATCGGTGCAGTTTCCTCCGTTGTGGCAAGGTRMAGGAGCRCAGTCGTCGATGTTGATRTGACAGTTGATTCCAGCATAGCCAGGCTGACATAAACATTCATAGTRATTGACATGGTCGACACATAAACCGCCATTTTGACACGGTGAGGACTGGCACTCATCAATATTAATAGMGCATGCTTGACCTGTGTAACCTGGCTTACAGGTACATCTATATCCATTGATGAGATCACTACAATAACCACTGAACCCACATGGTAGAGAACTACACTCATTTATATCTACTGAACACGTACGACCATTGTAACCAGGCAAACACTTACAGTAATAGTCATTGACAAGGTCTATGCACGTACCGCCATTAGAACATGGTGACGTCACACAATCATCAATATTAATGTTACACAGGGTTCCCGTGAAACCTTTTGGGCAGATACAGRTATAGTTGTTTAGGCCATCAATACAAGTAGAATTGTTCTGACAATGRTTGGAAARACAGTCATTGATATTGGTCTCACAATCTACTCCAGTGTAACCACGTGGGCAGACACACTTATATGTGGAATTATTTAGAGTCAGACATGTTCCACCATTATTACACTTATATGATTGACATGAATCGCTGTTATTAGCACACGTCCTATCATAGACACCCACAGTGCAATTACACCTATAGTTATTAACCATATCTATACACTCTCCACCATGACATGGTCTTGAYWGACAGTCATCAATATCATGTTCACAGTTGACACCGTCATATCCATCAACACAGTGACACTTGTAGGCATTGGCAAGATTGACACATGTTGCTCCATTTTGGCATGGATTGCTTTGRCATTCATTGATATCTATATTGCAATTAGTACCAGTGTAACCACTAGGACAGGAGCAGTTATAACCATTGATAAGATCAATACACACACCATCATGACGACATGGAACACCAATACAATCATCTATGTTAACACTGCAGTCARTACCAATAAACCCARCAGGACACACACACTTATAGCCACCAACACCRTCCACRCAGATACCATTGTTTTGACAATGATTGACAGGATGACAATCATCAATGTTGGTTTCACATTGATAACCAGTAAAGCCATTTGTACAGATACATTGGTAAGAATCAATAGCATCAACACAGCTGGCATTATTTTTACAGCCATGATGGGTRCAGTCATCAAKATTGATACTACAATTCCTACCAGTAAAACCAGCTTTACAGATGCATTGGTAATCATTGACCAGGTCTCTACAGGTACCATTGTTAAAACAYGGAGATAATAAACAWTCATTGAWGTTGCTTTCACAYTGAACACCATTAAATCCTGGCACACATTTGCACTGGTACTCATTGATAAGATTCTTACATGTCCCTAGAATGAAAACATATTCTAATCATCATGGATTATCATTACATCAATCATTGTATGTACTGTACCTCCATTTTGACAGGGTGAAGACAAGCATTYATCYACATCAATATGACAGTCTTTTCCTGTGTASCCAGACGGACAGACACATTGATATTCRCYTATCCCATCAGCACATATCCCACCATGTTTACATGGGTTACTATGGCAATCATTGATATTAACTTGACAGTTTTTGCCAGTGAATCCCTTGGTGCATGTACAAGCATAGTTATTGACCTGATCAATGCACGTGCTGCCATGACGACATGGGTCACTAACACATTCATTGATTTCTATCTCACAGTGCTTCCCAGCATACCCTGGGACACAATAGCAATGGTATTCATTGACAAGATCTTGRCATGTGGCATTGTTTTGACAGGGGTTACTATGGCAATCGTCAATATTGATTTCACAAAGTGTACCATGGAAACCATTTGCACAAATGCAGCCAAATGAGTTGACCTGAAACACAAACTTCCTTCAACTTGAATAAAGTGTGGGAAACTCTAGAGTGAGCATTTATTGTATGTAGGAAATACA